TCCTGTCTATAAATCAATCATGTCACACACATGTATTGTCCACATACATCAATCATGTGACGAACATGTCCCGTCTTTATAATTCAGTCATGTGACGGGCATGTTCTGTCTATAAATCAATCATGTCACACACATGTATTGTCCACATACATCAATCATGTGACGAACATGTCTCGTCTATATAATTCAGTCGTGACGACCATGTGCTATCTATTATTCCCTCAAGTGACGACCGTGCCATGCCTACAATAAACACACCCATTCTACGTGTCATAGTAAGTTTGATTTTCTTTGCATTGGGTAGATATATACCCACATGTTCTCGCGTACTTGAAAACAAAATTGCTACTTAAATCTTAAAATCATATCAATAAAAAATGCAAAATTGATTCACAAGTGAATTGCTCAACAATTTATACAGTCTCAAATCTTATCTTGAACATGTGAGGCCGTGTTAACGTGAAATGTAAGAGTCCCACTTAAAGCATAAGTGCCCAGACTTCAATGCCTTCATCTTCCGTATTCCATGGTTACCGTGGACGGGTTTGATATAGCGCCAAGAAGCAAGTGTTGTTTCGTTACAGACTGCTCCCGGAGTGTTGGGATTTCAAGTTAAAGTACTTGTTGTGTTGGGATTAACGTTGGGGGGTTTCAAACTAGTCAATACACTCGAGATATTTATGATACAACCTTTGGACTGGTGTGTGGGTTCAACCTCTGTGTCGGGCGTCGTATAAATTAGCTATGAGTGTTGTGACATGTGCTTTAATAGAGCCGATGCACTTAGTTATCCAGTTCTGAACCAGTGTACACGTCCAATAAATCAAATCAGGGCACGTATGCATGAAGCCGTCGTAGCGTTACGGCACTTGTATAAAGCGTTAAGTCCCATACTTTAACATTGGTTTACAAATAAATAATATCATTAAGTCCTATACTTTAACAAAGACTTACAATGGTAATACCGTTAAGTTCTGCAATTTAACATTGGCTTACAATAGTAATAACGCTAAGATCGCTTTGTGCAAGTGAGCCGAGGCAATATTGTTCCTCGCAATGGGACGATCATACTTGTTTGAACGCATTTGTTTTATATTCCGTATTCCCACATGTTGCACAATGTTAATGACAACGTTATATTATCTGCCTCGTTTGGTGGCATTAAAAGTGCATGTTTTGAAAAATACATGTGTTATTGGAGTTTGCTGGCGAGTGAGTGAGTGAATGCTGTCTTACACACAGTTATAGAAAGACGGCCTGCACATAATTGAGTGAGCAAACCAGTGGTTTACAGTACCAATAAAAATCAACTAACCAGGCCACACACTGACCACCCATTCCTCTCATAAGTCGGCGACCCGTGAAGAGCCAAGTTAGAACTAGTCTTCAGCAATCCATGCTTGTCGTAAGAGGCGACTAACGGGATCGGGTGGTCAGGCTCTCTGACTTGGTTGATGCATGCTTTCGTATCCCAATTGCGTAGATCGATGCTTATGATGTCAATCACTGACCGCCGTCATATGTCTGGAATTCTCCTGAGTGCGGCGTAAAACAACAAACAAACACAACAAAGCTCAAAAGTGGGTTTTCACTTCAAGCAAACGGCACCGAGGATCTTTTCTACTCCCACAGGGGTAGCTACCGATATAGGAATAACTATGATAAAACAACATGACTATAATATACTGAACCAAATTAAAAACTTCACAATCCTAAAATTCACAATCCTAAATGGCCACGTATTGTCTTCAGATAACACCCGTTTTTGTGCAGGTGAATCGATCAAAATCATGTGCACAGCACTATAGTGGCAAAAGTGGTTTTTCACGTGCAACTAGTCACGTGGCCATAATACCGCACGTGTTTTCAGCCATACTTGTTAGCAGTCATTAACAAAAAAAGAAAAACACAAGAAAACAAAAGTCTTTACGGCCATTTGTCATGCCACGCCTTTCAAATGTGCAACGTGAACGTGCCATCGGCATGTTGCAGACGTGAACGTCCGTAGCTGAAGTCGCAAGGACGATCGGTTGTAGTCGACGGACTGTTTATGATTTACAGACGCGTCTACAGCAAACGGGTACCCCCGCTGATCGCCCTCGGCCAGGTCGACCACGTGTGACGTCACATGCAGAGGATCGTCAGATTGTCTTACGTCACCTCCGTAACCGATTTTTGACGGCTACATCAACCAGAAATGAACTGTTTAGGGGTAGACTGAGTGCGCAAACTGTTCGAAACCGTCTGAGAACTGCTCACCTTCAAGCACGACGGCCATACTGCGGGCCGATTCTGACTCAATTACACAGACGCCAACGTCAATTGTGGGCACAGCGACACTTACGATGGACTCAGAGGAATTGGAATCAAGTCGTCTTCAGTGATGAATCCCGATTTGCTGATGGTAGGGCGAGGGTGTGGAGGCGCCGTCATGAACGTTACGCCCAGTGTTGTGTACAGGAAGTTGACAGATTTCGAGGCGGAAGTGTCATGGTGTGGGGTGCTTTCTGTGGCAATGCACGTTCCAGGCTTCTTGTCATCCGTGGCAACCTCAACGCTGCTGCTTACCTCGACCAGGTACTGGCACCAGAACTTCTGCCTTTTATGGCAGCACATGGACCCGGTTTGATCTTCCAACACGACAATGCCAGACCCCACACAGCAATTTTGACAAGAAATTTCCTCCAGAATGCGGGAGTCAACGTCATGGACTGGCCGTCAAGGTCTCCCGACCTCAATCCCATCGATCACGTCTGGGATGCTCTTGGCAAAAGTCTGCGCACTCTCCAGAACCAACCATAGAATTTGCAAGATCTTGGCACCATTTTGCAGCAACAATGGCGTCGTCTTCCCAATCATGTGTTCACAAGCATCACAAGGTCCATGCGGATGGTTACCACCGTTAATTAAAATCCTTCTTTGGACATTAATCATTAAAAATTACCTTCTCTGATACATTTGTCCATTATATATCATATATGGGATTACTTTTAAAAATGTGAAGTTTTTAATTTGACTCAGTATATATGTTTCAAATTGGTCTGAAGTGAGTTTTGATTAAGATTTAGCTTAATTCTCAACACGATAGTAAAATATCGGTGTCCGCACAACTAAAGATAGTTGCTTCTGTCGATATGTTCTTATTAATTAAGATAAAGAAGATGTTGACTATGTTGACTGCTGTAGCTCCCGTTTATTCAGCGATGTTTCACACAGGGGGTTGGGCGGATTAATTTTTGAAATAATTGCTTCAACTCTACCAATCTGCATTATGATTTGTGGACACGGAGGACCAAATTTTCTGAGGCGCCGCAAGTCGTTGTGCAGAGTTGCGTCCCTTATCTGCTGCCAGGATCCGCTGGTTGTTGTGACTCCGATTATGAACTTTGGTTTGTCAGCATTTTACCCGTGCTCGTGGGTTTCACCGAAGTAGTTGACGTGTACAACCTGCGTCACAGGCTTTCGTCCAGCATCAGGAGCGGTCGGGTAGCCTAGTGGTTTAAGCGTTCGCTCGTCACGCCTAAGACCCGGGTTCGATTCCCGACATGGGTACAATGTGTGAAGCCAATTTCTGGTGTCCCCTGCCATGATATTGCTGCAATATTGCTAAAAGCGGCGTAAAACCATACTCACTCACTCACTCACTCGTCCAGCGTCAAGTGAGTGAGTGAATATGGTTTTGCACCGCTCAGCAATGTTACAGTAATATCACGACGGAGAAAACCAGAATTTGGTTTTACACATTGTACCCATGTGGGGAATAGAGCCCCGGCACTCCACGTGATGAGCGAATGTTATGATCACTAGGCTTCACCACCGCCCCCAGCATTAAGTTGACAGCCATAACATAATTAACATACCGTTATACAACGTTAAATCCAACGCCTTTATCTTACACTACAACAATACCCGTTATAACTACCCGTTCAGTTGTATGTTCGACCCGTGAAGATCCGGGTGTGAATAGGTCCTCAGGAACCCATGCTTGTCGTTAGAGGCGTCTATGCTTGTCGTCAGAGGCGGCTGAAGGGATCGGGTGGTCAGGCTCGCTGATTTGGTTGATGCATGTCATCGTATCCCAATTGCATGGATCGATGCTCATGATGTCAATCACTGGATTGTCTGGTCCAGACTCGATTATTACTCGAGTGCGGCGTTAAACAACAAACAAACAGTTATATATTCTCTTTATGTTACCCGAAATGTTAGATAAAACTGCAAAATACGTTCATTCATTAATTCTTTAAAACGTATTTTGGGAAGTATATTGGCGTTGTATGGATATAACACAACATAGTCCAAGTAAAAAAAGTTATCTTATTTTAAAACAGAAAATAGAAACCAAATGGAGCCCAGAACAATTATCAATTCCTAGAGGTGGGGGAATCTAGACGTACCAAATCATTCTAGACTTGAATTGGGGTCATTTTTCAATATATTCTCTGTGGTCTGGGAGACAGATTGCCGTAGAAGAGATGATGATCAGTCGAATGACAAACAATTATAATGCCCAACACTCTACAGGTACGACCGCCTCCGTGGTCTAGTGGTAGAGCGTCCGCCCGGAGAGCGGAAGGTCCGGGGTTCGATCATACCAAAAGACGTTAAAAGATGGTACTTGTTGTTACCCTGTCTGGCTCTCGGCATTAAAGGGCTAAAACAAGGACTGGTCTGCTCGGAGTCAGTATACTGTGTCTGATTGGGGTATTCATGTTAAACTGCGGCATGGTGTCTCAGTGAGCTAGCACTATAAATCGGCATCAGTCCGGACTAGTACAAGCAGCCACACAAACACACACACACGTACATACACGTCGCTATATAAGTGCAATAATCTTGGACTCGAAGTTAAACCCCATTTCACTTCACCTCACCTACACAGGTACACATGTATAAGCTGTTGGCACAGGTCAGAGAAGATGAATTCTTAAATGGTGTCGTGTCTTTACACAGTTATAATGTCTCCATGTAAGTAAAAATAAAACAGAATACGTTTTATGTTGTTGTTTTTATTGAAAACCTGATAAATTAACACATATATATTTGACGCTCTCCACAGTCTCCATCGATGTACGTATCATGTGAAGTCTGAGATGGACAATTTATAGAAAAAGTATTTTGTATAATGAAATGTAAAGCCAAGCCGGATGTAACTGCGTCTGAGGGTTGGGGTGAGGGGGGTGGGGATGGGGTGTTTGGGGGTGGAGGTGTATGGGGTCACCACGGTAGGGTGGAGTACATGTAGGCATGGTATGACCTTGGTTTGGTTTGTGCATCAAGGGGCTAAACACAGGAGGCGATGGTAGAGTAGAACTGTACAAACTACTGGCTGCTCAGAGTCGCTAACGAACCCGTATTGTCACGAAAAACACACGGTCAACACCGTATACAACGAAGCCGGGTATAGCAAATAGTCAATTATGTTCACCCCAAGCCATACTTCCCTACACTTGCTTCTGATTAGCACGGGTCATTCATTACGGGGTAGGGACGGATAGTTCACATTCAGGACTTTACAAAAAGAAGACCCTTCCCAAACCAAGGACATTATTTTCTGAAAAGTCACCTCCCCACCCGATCCTCCGACCCCCGAATCTATCCTCCTGCGTTACATCGCAAAGCATTTGTAAAACGTGTTGTTACGCCAAGTTTACTTTACATAGACGCACACTAACTGTATGGACTTTGAGTCACAAGAGGCACACATAAAGACTTCGACCACTGATTATATCATAGATTCTGAGCAGTTTAAAACATAGAGGACAGTTGCTGCAGTTTGACATGACAGAATGAGCCACACATATCACAACGCTTCATAGTTCGACATTAGATCCTGAAACATCCTCACCACATATCTGCCTCTATCCCAATAATGGTTCCCAATCCGTAATTGAAGAATACGTTGTTTCTGGACTTCTGGACAAACGAACTACATTGTCCACTATTCGTGAGCATCCTTCCACATGTTCCACATCCTAGGCCTTAGCACAATTCACTTGCTTAATGGTAAAGTCTCTCCTTCTGCAACTGGGTTCACAACCATCATTCTAGGTACAACCCGTACACAAGCCCACAGGCGTACATCTTTCCATTTTTGTGAGCATACTCAGCGAACGTGTCCATACTTGGATTCCACACACACCTGCTCACCATGGCAACGGAGGACATCACGGCTGGACCTAATGCTACGGTTGCAACAATCTTGTATCTGGTGTGCCCGAGCTCTTTCACGCGGTGCTTGATAACGTCTGCCAGCTTTCCCGCCAAAAGCGTGCTCTCTGCAGGGTCATATTTCTTGTCACCTATCATCTCCTCAAATACACTCTGAATTATCTTTTTCACGGAAACACTTGGAAACGCTTTCTCGGGCTCAAGTCTGTATGAATTCTCAATCCGGGGTCCTTGAGGCGGACGGCTTTGAGCAGACGTCAAAATCATGGCAGCTCTAGTCCCGTCCATTGAAGATCTACCAATGTTGCTGGCGATCCTGTTGACGTCGACGGACTGTCGTCGAAGATTGACCCGTCCAGTGTCCGTTGACTGGCGTCTAACTGCCGTGCTCATTTTTCTAATACTTTCAGTCTAATCCTTTATCCAGTAAGACAAGAATTACACTTAATCGATTTAAATTGATCCCGCAAGCTTCGGACGTCAAGATGATAGGAACGCGATCAAATAACTTAACACACACACATCGACCAGGTCTTAAAAAGTTTGTGTGATCACAGTGCTTTGTGAGGAAGTTAGGGTTTCCAAGATAAGGCTCCGTTGGCAATTCTTATATCCTTCAGTCTGTCTGCCGACTGGAGTATGTCTCTCCAATGCGATTGATTTTATTGTGCTTGCCGTTCCCCGATCACCAAGCGGTAGCAGAAATTGATCTCAGGAGTCAATTAGCAAGCTCGTTCATCCTTGAATAAAAATTCATACGACCCTTAGACAGGTGTATTCAAGTAGCATAGGCTGTACTCAGTGTAAACATATGCCCTCCTGCCAACAGTCGACTAATAAGACAAGCGTTTCATATGTCACGGCGGACGGGCGAAGAAGGACCACTCATGAATGACATCACTATAGTGTGAACTAAACTAACACCTCACAACAGAAGGTTTGCTTTCAAGCATAGCGGAATCAGCTTTGGACGATCGTGTTTCTTCCAGCATTGAACATGTAGAACTTAAATCGGTATTTGAAACAGGGCGGTTTTAAGAGGTGCCGTTGACCCCCGATTATATCCTCGGTTAATGGTAGAATATGTTAATGGTTACCGGGATAAATATCTAAACTTATTTTCATTATCCTTCATTGTTTACGTTACGCTTTAGTGTGGTTACCGCTTTAATTAAAGGCAGGTGATTCTCATGAACTGGACAATGGGCGTTGATTGACCTAATGGCATCACGGGCGTGTCAAGTGTCATTTCTGTTTGTTTAAGGTATTACAATGACATCAATAATTTTACTAAAGAATTAGACATCTAATACATCTACAAAAAAATCAACTTCATGACATAGGGACTACGGCGTTTCTTTAATACATAAACCAGGTCATTTAAACGTTAATGAGATGTGAACGTCAGCGAAAGTATTTTAATAGTATCACGTTAAGCCTCGTCTCTTGATGATACGAACAATCTTCAGATTTTACCCACATGCATGTACTATGAAACTTGATACACCCCGGCCTGGTTCCCTGGGTATGCTGCGCTGGCGCTTCACTGTAGCACCATCGCATACCAAGGGAACCACGCTGCACACACCCATGAAACGTAATGCATAAATTCAGCTTAATGAAAAAACTACATTCCTCTATATAAACACCCATCTCAAACATTAACCTATATTAAAAAAACTAATACCACTAGTTGTTTGTAGAACAGGTCTAAAAATGATCTTCAGACATTACCCAGGCATGACCAAGTTTCAGACCTGCCGAATACGGGATGTGCTGCGTTGTGATCCCCCCCCCCCCCCCCTCATGCTAGCTCCTGGTCCTGATGCACAGTCAGGATAAAACACACACTACATGCCTCCATCCGTACAGTTCTGATGTACGGAATCTACGTCCCTCCCTACATTCATTCAGGATAATGCATACACTGCGTTATGTTTATAAGAACATTGATGAAAAAATAAAAGGTGCAGGTTTTGTAAACAAAATCCCCAAAACAGATACAGCTAAAATTGTATAACATACATGTATATGATTAACGGACTGTACATTTCATTCAGTGTCGACTTTTTGTAGGAACCGGCGTCTCTAATTATCAGTGCTACGGGTGGCCAAGTCGTCTAAGGCGAACAATTTGCTGTCTAGAGTTGTGTCCTATGACGCACCAGAAAGTTAAGATCGTGGGTTCGAATCTCAGTTTTGTCCTAATTATGTTTCTTGGTTTATCAGCTCCATGCCCGTTCTCGTGGGTTCCACTAAAGTTTAAAACGCCTGAAAGCTCCATCACTTCAGGATTTGCTCCAACATCAACCTGCCCTGCCGTGATATAACTGACATTCTGTTCAAAGCCGACCGCCTCCGTGGTCTTGTGGTAGAGCGTCCGCCCGGAGAGCGGAAGGTCCGGGGTTCGATCCCCGACCGCGTCATACCAAAAGACATTAAAAGATGGTACTTGTTGTTACCCTGTCTGGCGCTCGGCAATAAGGGGCTAAAACAAGGACTGGTCGGCTCGGAGTCAGTATACTGTGTCTGAGTGGGGTATTCATGTTAAACTGCGGCATGGTATCTCAGTGAGCTAGCACTATAAATCGGCATCAGTCCGGACTAGTACAAGCAGCCACACAAACACACACACGTACATGCACGTCGCTATATAAGTGCAATAATCTTGGACGCGACGTTAAACCCCATTTCACCTCACCTCACCTGTTCAAAGCCGCGTTAAACCAAAGTCTCTCACTCACGCATTCTAATTAGCAATTATCAGAGACAATGCGGTAATATCAACAATGGTTTTGCTTTGACGGCCGTCGCATTGAGATTACATATCTGTGATTTATTTAGTTGTGAAAACAACTGACGTAAATGATAAACTTCAGCATTAGACAGCAGTGAGCGGGTCACGGAGACCAGGGCCCACTTGCACAAAGTGATCTTAGCGCTAAGATGATCTTAACTCCCATACTTTAACATAGGCTTACAATAGTCTTAGCGCTAAGATCGTTTTGTGCAAGTGGGCCCAGGATTGTCTTGGAAGGTAGATTCTATTGCTCTGAATGAATGCCATGACAGATTAGCTACAGCAATACTTTTTTTAGTAGAATATGATAATCAACGTTATCGGGAAACATCAACGCGAGTCAAACTTGGGTTCAGCGAATGCGGCTTGCATGCGGGTGTATCACACATATGCAGTTTGTGAGAGGTCTACTGTCAGTGACAGAGCGATTGTCGCTGTTTGTTTCCAGGCAGTCACGGTATGGTCCTGACCTGTACTTAAATCAGAGTCTACACAGACACAACGATCTTTACATCAAAACACACACCGGGAATAATCAATATGTATTTGGTTTGTTATCTGGTAGCCAATTCGTAATTCTATACAAATAAAGAGACAAGACCCGTGAACACCTGGGTTAAAATTGACCTTCAGGAACCCATGCTTGTCGCAAGAGGTGACTAACGGGAACGGGTGATCAGGCTCGCTGACTTGGTTGATGCATGTCATCGTATCCCAAATGCGGGGATCGATGCTCATGATGTCAGTCACTGGATTGTCTAGTCGATTATTTACAGACTTATTTTGTGTTCATATTTACAGACCTCCGTCATATAGCTGGAATATTTCTGAGTGCGGCGTTAAACAACAAACAAACAAGAAACACATAAAAAAATACGGTGCGTGTGCGTATGTCTAAGGGTGTTTGCGTGTATCAACGCTTTTGTGCGCACATGTGTAGATATGTGTGAGTGGTTGTATGGGACATGGTGACCATTTTGAACATCTAGAGACAAAACAACTTAACAGTAGCGGGGCTTTCTGATGTATTATGGATCTCTTGTGTGGCTTGTGTGTTAGGGGGACCGCCTCCGTGGCCTTGTGCTAGAGCGTCCGCCCGGAGAGCGGAAGGTCGGGGTTCGATCCCCGGCCGCGTCACACCAAAAGAGCTTAAAATATGATACTTGTTGTTACTCTGCCTGGCGCTCGGCATTAAGGGGCTAACACAAGGACTGGTCGGCTCCGGGTCAGTATACTGTATGGAGTTTTCATGTTAAACTGCGGCATGGTATCTCAGTTGGCTAACCCTATACAATCGGCATTAGTCCTGACTTGCAGCCACACACGCACGCACACACACACAATCACACTAACACACACATGTATGCACGTCGCTATATAAGTGCAATAACATTGAACGCGACGTACCCCATTATCGAAAAAGAAAAGAGTGTCAGGGAAAATGAGGAATTCGGTTTACGTCAGATTTTGCCGAAATTAAGCCTTAGCCGTACCAGAAAATAGCTGAGAGGTCACGGGTGGCCCAGTCGCCTAAGACGACGTGATTCGCCGTGCAGAGTTGCGTCCCTTGGACTCGCCAGAAACCTATGATTGTGGGTTCGTATCCCGGTTCGCCCCGATTAAGTTTCTAGGTTTGTCAGCACCATACCCGTGCTCGTGGGTTTCACCGAAGTGGTAAACGTCTGAGACCTGCATCACTTCGGGTTTTCCTCCCACATTAAGCTGACACGCCGTGATATAACTGGAATACTGTTAAAAGCGGCGTTAAACCCAACTCACTTACCAGAAAATAGCTGATCGTTGGTCCGAACCCTCTCTGCTATTATAAGCTGACAATTACGCACCGTGACAACGCTCGTGATTCTCCGAAATGTCTACAAGTTCGTCACCCTAGCTTATCCTCCCACAATAAGCCGACCCTGTGATACGAATGCTCACATGAGCGTTAATCCATTTTGACCCCTTTGAAGACCCGGGTAGGATTTAGCCTTCAGCAAGCCATGCGTGTCGCAAGAGGCGACTATCGGGATCGGGTGGGCAGGCTCGCTGACTTGGTTGGTGCATTTTATCGTGGGGTATTCGCAGGACGACGACCCCTCCATTTTTTCCCTAATTGTGTCGATCGATGCTCATGAGGTCAATCACCGGATTGTCTGGTTCAAACTCGATTATTTACAGACCGCCGCGATATAGTTGGAATATTGCTGAGTGCGGCGTTAAACAACAAACTGATCCAGTTTGTTATGTGGTAATCTGACCCCAGACTCCATACAGGCGCATGCTCACAGCGTGTGGTATTTTATTACTGGGGTCGGCGGATCAATGTACAGCTATACTGCATTCTAAGCTCCCCGAGCGGCACAATAAACAGAGCAACAAATAACAGACAATACATGTTGATGTTAAAGAATTTATTATCACAGCACATCATTAAAGGACAATGGCCCCCCGTCATGCCGAGTGTGTTTCAACAAGCGTGTCACGTGACAAATGAAGTACAAAAAAGTGACTAGGCTTGGGAGAATGTGCAGCCCTAACAAATTTGATCCAAGTTATTTAAAAAGCATCTTTTTGAGTCTGCTAACTCTAATGTTATTACCTGTACTAATCAATCAGTTAATGAGTGCCTTATTACAAAGATACATTTTTCATGTTCACACATGACGCTAATGACTGAAAACCTAGACTTGAATTGAACACCAAATGTTGGAATATTATCCATAAATAAACATCGCCCCAGTCCATCATCATTTATCTCAAATAGAGCAAAACCCAGTAGGCAGCTATGTCACTGAATCCAATGTGTGGATCGGTTTTAAATCCTTTATTTGAGAGAAGGGGGTGTCATAACAGGGGCCCATTGTGTGACTGTTACTCACTGAAAACACATTGTACTATCACAGCTAGCTCAATTATCACGTAAGATGTGATGACGTTTCTTGCACTACGAATACATAACACGCATCTTCTATTGGTGAGTGAAGTATAAGTTAGTTGGCATGAGTACATTCAGGCACAATACGAGCTATA